TTCCAAAGAAAAGGCTAAGCCTGAGGGCAGCAGCAAGCTGGGGCAACCACCAATTTATTCTAAAGATCTTGGCACCTAGGACTAAGAACCTCCAGCTAGATAAAGGAAAGGAATCCCTGAGGCTCTGAAGGAACTGGATTCTGTAGGGTTTCTGCAGGTCTCAAGGGTCTGCCTCTTCCAAAAGTCAGAAAAATGCCTATCTATAGGTTTTAAACTAAGAACTTTTGAGAATTAAGGACTCTTCTTGGATTTAGTGTCTGTTATTGCAAATTTATCAAGAACTACTATGCCACCGCTAAATCACTCCGTAGTCCATTTATGAAACCATCTGACCTCAGGCCTTCCTCATTACTTACTTCTTACCTGGATTATCTCAATAATTTGTTCACTGGTCTCTTCCCCAACCTATTTCTCCAACCCCATCCCCCTTCATTTCCCACCAGCTGCTCTGCTTGGTATCTTTGAAACGATGAAATAATAATAATTATCACCAGAAAATCTTGTCATGGAGATTACTGGAGCTTTGGTGCTCAATACTTCATCAGCACCTTTAGTTGCCTCTCCTTCTGACTGGGGACCCCTTCCCAAAACCCTGCTTTATAAAGAGCTCAGAATTTCCAACCACCTCCCCAGTTTTCTGCTTTGGTTCTTCTCTGCTGTTTCCCTCCCCACCCCACTCCCCTTTTACAACTTCCTTTTGTGCATTATCTTCCTCCCTTAGATTGTAAACTCCTCGAAGGGAAGAATTTATGGCCAAACAAGAGACAGAGAACATTATGAAATGCAAAATGTATGACTTTGATTACATAAAATTGAAAAGGTTTTGCACTGATAAAGCCAAAGCAACCAAGATTAGAAGGGAAGCAGAAAGCTCGGAAACAATTTTTATAACCAGTGTCTCTGATAAAGGCCTCATTTCTAAAATATATAGAGAACCGAGTCGAATTTATAAGACTACACGTCATTCCCCAACTGATAAATGGTCAAAGGATATGAACAGGTACTTTTCAGAGGAAGAAATTAAAGATATCTATAGTCATATGAAAAAATGCTCTAAATCACTACTGATATAGATTGATTGATTTATTTGATGCAAATAAAAATGATGCTGAGGTATCATACCACACCTATCAGATTGGCTAACATGACAAAACAGGAAAATGATAAATGCTGGAGAAGATATGGGGAAATCAGAACACTAATGCATTGTTGGTGGAATTGTGAACTGATCCAACCATGCCGGAGCACAATTTGGAATTATGCCTGAAGGGCTATAAAAATGTGCATATCCTTTGACCGGCAATACCACTTGTAGGTGCGTATCCCAAAGAGATCATAAAAATAGGAAAAGGACCCACATGTACAAAAATATTTATAGCAGCTCTTTTTGTGGTGGCCAAGAATTAGAAATTGAGGTGATGCCCATCAATTGGGGAATGGCTGGACAAGCTGTGATATATAAATGTAATGGGATACTACTGTGCTATAAGAAATGATGAGTAGGCAGACTTTAGAAAAACCTGGAAAGATTCATATGAACTGATGCTGAGTGAAGTGAGTAGAACCAGGAGAACATTGTACACAGTAACAGCCACACTGTGCGATGATTGACTTTGATAGACTTGGCTCTTCTCAGTAATATGATGATCTAAGACAACTCCAAAAGACTCATGGTGGAAAAAGTTATCCACATCCAGAGAAAGAACTATGGAATCTGAATGCAGATGGAAGCATACTATTTGCTCTCCTTTTGTTTTGTTGTTTTGTTTTGATTCTTCTTTCTCATGGTTCCTCTCATTAGCTCTAATTCTTCTTTACATCATGACTAATGCGAAAATATGCTTAATATGAATGTATAAGTAGAGCCTATATCAGATTGAATGCCATCTTGGGGAGGAGGAAGTGAGGGAGGGGGAGAAAATTTGAAACTCAAAATCTTATGGAAGTAAATGTTGAAAATTAAAAATTAATAAATAAATTCTATAATTAAAAAAGAAGAAAAAAAAGATTGTAAACTCCTTAAGGGCAGGGACTGTCTTTCTTATTTGTATCCCTGGGGTTTAGCACCATGGTAGGAACAGAGTAGGCACTAATAAATGTTTATTGACTATGACTATTTATCCTCTCACCAGCTGCCAAATTGATAATCTTAAACCACAGGTCTGACACAATGTTTCATTCCTTATCTCAAGACACCACAGTGGCCCTTAGTTCTTTACTTAAATTAAATTAAATTTTGTTTCTGATCCACATTTCCCCCCTCCTACCTACTTTTCCCCCAATGAGAAAGCCATTGGATCTTTATTACCCCTAAAATAAAACAAATTCCTATTCATCTTAAACTCAACATGCCCCAAATTGAACTCATTACCTTTCTCTTCATACCCTCCCCTCTTCTTAACTTCTCTATTACAGCTGAAGGAACCACCATCCTCCTAGTTGCCCAAGTTTTCAACCTACCTGTCAACTCCTCACTTTCCCTCACCTTCCAAGTCCAATCTGTTGCCAAGGCCTGTTGATTTTATCTTTGCAACATCTCTTGAATTCAACTCCTCTCCTCTGCCACTGGCTTGGTACAGGCCCTCATCACCTCAAGCATGGGCTGTTGCAATAGCCTGCTGGTTGGTCTTCTATTTCTCTCCAAACCAGTTCATTCTCCACTCAGACGTCTAGGTAATCTTCCTACAGTATGACTATAATAATAAATAAAATAAATATTAAATAAATAATAATAAAGTCTGACTATATTATTCTCCTCCCCCTGTTAAAAAAATTCCTAACACTTCCAGGATAAAATATAAAATCCTTTGATGGGTGTCAAAATCCCATCCTAATCTGGCCCTCCTACTTTTTTTTCCACACCTTACAAGACCTCTAAGGTCTTCTCACACCTTACAACCTCTCCCCCCCACAGTACTCTGTGATCCAGTAACACTGACCTCCTAGATATTCCTCCATCAAAACACTCCATCTTCTGACTGAGCATTTTGGCTGTCCTCCATACCTGGAAGATGCTTCCCTCCCATCTCTGCTCCTGGCTTCCTTCAAGTTCCACCTTCTACAGGAAACACTTTCCTGATCCCCTCAATTTTAGTACTGTCCCACTGTAGATCATTCCAAATTTATCCCAAATATAGCTTGTATGTACACAGTTGTTTATATATCGTGTGCCCTATTAGACTGTGAACTCTTTGAGATCAGAGACTGCCTTTTACCTTTCTTATATCCCCAGGGCTTAGCACCGTGCCTGGTACATGGTAGGAAAATAATAAAGGTTTATTGACTGACTGCTTGACATTTAAAGTTCTTTACAGCAAGGCTTCAACCTATATTTCCAGGTTGGATTACACATCATGTGCTCAGCACTTCTCTCAAGCTAGCTCACTTGCTGGTCCATACACACACACACACACACGTGTGTGTGTGTGTGTGTGTGTGTGTGTGTGTGTGTGTGTATATATATAGGGTTCAATACAATAATAACATTTCTAGGGATTGGAGGGGGAGAGAAAAAAGCACTGAATTTGGAACGTGAGCACTGAGTTTAAATCCTGGTTCTGACACTTACTATGTTTGTCACTCTGGGCAATTTTTTTTTCCCCCTGGGCCTTAGATTTTCCATCTGTAAAATGAGAGATTGCACAAGATTGACTCATTCTTCATTGTGGAGAAGAGTATCATTTTTCTTACTGCCCCCAGCAGCAACTGCCAATCAACTGCCACCAATAAGCAGATGAGTATAGGAGTACTGAGAGGGGCAGCAGCTTTCCCTCCTCATCTTTCCCACTTCCACACTAGCCCTCACAGCTTTCTTCTGGGGAAGAAACTCCTGTGGAGAAAGGGTCAGGCATGGCCACCAACTCCCACCAACAAGGCAGACCAAACAAGCTTACCTGAAGCAACAAAACACCCTGAAGGAGAGCAAGAGGCAGCATATGACCTGCAAGTTAGACCACCATCACCACCTTGACCCCCATTTCCCCTCAGGCCCTGATGGACATCGCTCAGGACCCCAAACCTAAGAGTCTTGGGAATGGCGATGCTTCCAGTCCATTGCCTGAAGCAACTCTTGTGGAATGAAGCCTGGCCACTCCTTCTGTAGAAGCTACCGCCACATCTATTGAAGATTTAGAAAGGAAAGTTCTTGTTACCAAAGTCTTTGACACTGTCAAATGATTCAACATCAGAAACTGACAGGATCTTATCAATGGAAATGACATTAAAGAAGAAGCATTACTTTGCCTCTACACCTTAAGGACCCATAGGACCTTTCCATCTGACTTATAGCTGAAACCTTCCATATGCATTGTTTTCCCCTAATGCAACCTCCTTGAGAGCAAAGGGCTGTCTTACTTTTCAAGACTCCTCAGCATTTGGTGCAAGACAGTGTTTGGCACATGGTAAATGTTTAATAAATGCTTTCTTCATTCATTTATTCATCCACCCACCAATCCATCCATCATTCATCATTCCATCTACTCATCCAACTATTCATTTATTCATCCAACCATTCATCTATCCAACTGTTCATTTAGTCATCCATATAATCATTCATCTATCCATTTATCTATCAATCCATCCATCCATTCATCTAGCTAGTCATTTATTCATCTATCCATCCAACCATTCTTTCATTCATTTATCCATCCATCCAACCATTTAGTACACCATGTTAGGAGTTCAAGATGTCTTGGACTCTTTTTGCTAGGCAGACAAAAGATTTTAGGGTTAAATTCATGCAGTGCCCAGATAATACCAGATCTTTGAGGTCTAAGGCGCTAGCCTACTAAGCAATATATACTTTACATTAACATGTCTGCCCCTCCTCACTCCCAACCCACAGGACCCTCTAAATGGAGGAGACGCGATAGCGCGTCTGCGCAGGTGTGGGCATGGACTGGCGGGGGGAGAGGTCTTAGGGGCGGGGCCAGAGCACACAGAGCTCAGGCTCCGGAAGGGGAAGGGCGGAACCTTGTAGCCGGAGCCCTGCCCGAGACCGCATTCCGGTTGCACCGCTCCGGCACTTCTCTCTCCGGTTTCGTTGTTTCCACCCGGGCTCAGTTGGTGGACGGCTCGGCCGCCATCGCGCTATGGAGCCTGTGGGCTCCGGGCCCGAGGGCCTTCCCGGGTCTTTGGAGCAGCTCCCAGCCCCGGACAACCGGCTGTTTCTTGTGAAAGGTGCGCGCGACAGCTGCGGGTCCCCGGGAGCCTTGAGCCTGGCCCTGGCGCGGCCTGTCCTCCGGGCCCCCGCCGCCCCCCGAGGACGAGCGGGTTGTGTTGTGATTGTGGGAGGCGTGGACAGGGGAGGGCCCTTATGCGCCCCTCCCCCAGCAGACCCTCCCCTCAGCCTGGCCCAGCCCTGCCCCTAACCTGTTGGACCCGCAGTCCGAGACTTCTCAGCTCTGAGCCTCAGTTTCCTCGTCTGTAGAACAACCAGATGATCTGAGGACCCTTTCAGCCAGCCCCAAAGCGCTTGGTGCTTGGGGGGGAGCTTTCCGTGTAACCTCCCCAAAGCCACCACCCCGCGCTGACAGGAGGGTCCGGGGTGCTGAAGGCACTTCAGATGTAATCGTAATATTTCACGTTTTTATAGGGCTTTAGGGCTTACAACAACCCTGGGAGGTAGGTAGGTGCACGTGCCGTCATCTCTGTGGATGTTGCAGCTATTGATGTATCCTTTTCTGCAACACTGGCCCAGAAAAATTAAGCAGTTTGGCCAAGGTCAAAGCACTACTAAGAGGCAGAACCTAGATCTGAACCCAGGGCTTCCGACTCCCCATCTAGTGCTTTTTCCATTAAACTTAGCTTTATTGCGTGTTTCAGAATGAGTTTAGTTTAATGGGGAAAAAAACCCTCCAAAATACTTCTTTTCAAATGTATGGCTTTGCACAAATGTCACTGATCCTAAACAGTTGTAATTACTTTCCATTTTCTCCTTTTCAGAATAAATGATTAACATTTTTTTCTCAGGTTTTTTTAAATAAATGAGAGTAGAACATGTCTTAAATTTTCTTTGAAACTTTCTTGTTTAAGCTCTTTGAGATTCTTAATTTTTTTTTTATTTAATCTTTGGCAGGTGGAATTTTTCTTGGTACAGTTGCTGCTGCAGGAATGTTCGCTGGTTTTGTTACAACTTTGTCACTGGCTAAAAAGAAAAGCCCTCAGTGGTTCAATAAGGTTTGTGATCTGCTAAGTTAATTTGCATCTATTTTTTTTTGTTAAAATTTTGTTATAGGGAATGAGGATGGAGTATGATTTTTGTTTTTATGGTGTTTCACATTGATTTAAGAGGACTTTGAATATATGCATAGAGTCTAAAATTCTTTTTTTATTGCTAGTTTTAAGCATCTACTTTGATTTTTGAGGGGGCCCTGTATCCTCACCTTTCAGGTATGTTTTATTTCATTTCCTTTTGATAAAGTTTTACTAAATAGTATTACTAACACAAAAGACCAGATATTTGCCAAGTGCTTTACAATTATTATCTCACTTGATTTCTAAGTAAAAATACTTAGAAGTACATCCTTTTAAAAAATGGGGATAAATGTATATCCTGTTTCCAAAGAGGATTTCAGTTCTGAATACAAGGTAGAGAGAGATGTTGTCTAGATATTTATAGTTAGGCGGATTTGGAATTGCTTAAAGGAATAGATCTGAAGATTAATAAGTTGATTTCAACTTGGATGAAGGTCTTGATTAGAGAGGCCTAAATTTCTGTCTTTCGCTATGTGCTACTTAATATTTTTGTTAATGTCTTTCGAGAAGACATAGATATGCTCATTAAATTTGCAGGTGATATGAAGGGGTAGTTAACACATTGGGTGAGAGATTCAGGATCCAAAGAGCTCTTGACAATCTAGAATGATGGGCTAAATCTAATTTGAAAAAATTTAATAGGGGCAGTTGTATCTGTTTCTCAAATACAAGCTAGGTGAGAAGTGACAGGAGAGCATTTTATGTGAAAAATGATCAGGGGATTTTACTGGATTATCAGCTTCATGTGAAATGACAGTATTACAAGGCAGTCAAAAAAAAGCTAACATGATCTTAAGCTACATTAAGAGAGGTATTATGTGCAGAATGAGGGAAGTGATAGTCTTCACTGCATTCTGCCACGGTCAGACCGTATCTGAGGTTTTTCAGTTCTGGATGCCACATTTAGGAAGACAGTGCCAAGGTGCAAGGTGATCAGAATGGTAAGGGGATTAGAGAGACCATCAGAATTGGCTGAAGGAACTGGGGATACTAGTGATATTAATAATGCCTGGAGAGAAGAGGACTGGGGTGAGGAGGAAGGGAGAGGGCAGAGGGACAACTGTCTTGAGTATTTGAAGGGGTGTAACATAGAAGAGGGGCAGACTTGCTCTGTCTGGCCCTAGAGGACAGAAACAGGAGCAATGGATGAAAGTCAGTTCTGTGTGAGAAAAAAAAATTTCTAACAGAACTGTTCAAGACAAAAACTGCCTATAGAAGCTGTGGCTTCTTGATCAGCAGAGGGAAGGGGAGGTCTTTTTTTGGGTTTTGGATTACTACTTTGTTAAAATGCTGAAGAAGGATTTTTCAGTTATGGATTGGACTGACTTAGGGGTGGGGAACCTTGCCACCTGAAGGCCACATTAGGTCCTAGGGTGTGGCCTTTGGACTGAGTCCAAGTTTTACAGAACAAATCCTTTTATTATTCAGTCAGAGGACCTCACTTGAGGACCTAGAGGGCCACATGTGGCCTCCAGGCTGCAGGTTCCCCACCCCTGGACTAAAGGCCTTTCTAGTTGTGAGATTCTGTGCTACCTATCTTGTTTTAAAAGTTAAAAATTTTTATGGTGAATGAGATTCTATGGTTTCGTAAAGCATTAAAAATTTTTTTGGATAGCTAACTTAGATCTTGCTGCATTGTTAAGCCTATTCTTATCTGTCCTCACTAAACCAGTCTTCTGGCAAAGATGGATTATTTGGGGGGAAGAGTTGCCCAGCATATTGAGAAAATAAGTTACTTGCCCATAATTACTCAGCTTTTTCTGACATGTCACATTGTTGACTCATTGAACTTGCAATCTAGTAAACCTTTGAGATCTTTTTCATAGGAACTGCTGAAAATTCTTTCATGGGAACCTTTTTATTTAGTACTTGAAACCGAATTTCATTTTGAGGAAGACATCATGGCCATCAGAACTGGTCTAAGGCATGTGTTCACTCTATGCAAGGCTTGATAATTATACTCTTAAGCATTTGAAAATTGGACTCCTATGTGTTACTGTCCCCTGGAGGTTTTGAACCATAACTACTGTACTTGTGTCTTGACTTTTTCGATATTTTGAGATCTTTGATTTCATTAGTAGGGGTGAAACTTGTGGTGTAGGCTGAAGCCTCTTCATATTTTAGGAGATAGTCTTTTTTTTTTTATTAATTTATTTTGATTTATCAGCAGTCACTTCCATAAGCTTTTTTTTGGCAAGGCAGTTGGGGTTAATTGACTTGCCCAGCACAATGTGGCTGTTACTGTGTACGATGTTCTCCTGGTTTTGCTCACTTTGCTCAGCATCAGCTTACACTTATTGTCATCGGATTTGGCTCAAGGAGGGAATAATATAATCAGTTAGGTAAAGAAATCTAACTTGCCCCATAGGCAGTAGGAGGGAAAAGAGGAAAGAAAAGGGAGGGACTATAGAAGGCAGGAAAGAAGTAGTAAGGGTAAAGGAGAAGAAAAGGGAGGGGGCTAATAGAAGGGAGGCGGGTCTGAGGAAGGCAGTGGTCAAAAGCAAAACACTAGTGAGGAGGGAAAAGGAGAAAGAAAAGCATAAACAGGAGGGAAATAGGATGGAGAGGAAGACACAGATAGTAATCATAATTGTGAATGTGAATGGGGTGAACTCTCCCATAAAACAGAAGCAGACAGCAGAAACCATTAAAAACCATAATCTTACAGTAAGTTGTTTATAGGAGACACATTTGAAACAGAGGAACATACACAGGATAAAGGTAGAAGGCTGGAATAGAATGTATTATGCTTCAGCTAAAGTAAAAGAAGCAGGGGTAGCAATCCTGATCTCAGACAAAGCAAAAATAGATCTTATTAAAAGAGATAAGGAAGGAAACTACATCCTGCTAAAAGGCACCATAGACAATGAAGTAATATCTTTACTAAACATATATGCACTGAGTGGTATAGCATCCAGATTCTTAGAGGAGAAGTTCAGGGAGTTTACAGAAGAAATAGACAGCTATGCTAGTAGGGGACCTCAATCTCCCCCTCTCTGAACTAGATAAATCTAACCACAAAACAAACAAGAAAGAAGTTAAGGATGTGAATAGAATTTTAGAAAAGTTAGATGTGGCAGACCTCTGGAGAAAATTGAATGGGGATAGAAAGGAATATACTTTTTTTCTGGGCAGTACATGGCACATACACACAAATTGACCATGTACCTAGGGCATTAAAATGTCACAATCCAGTGCAGAAAGGCAGAAATATTAAATGCATGCTTTTCAGATCATGATGCAATAAAAATTATATGTAATAAAAGGTCATGGAAAGATAGACTATAAATTAATTGGAAACCAAATAATCTAATCCTAAAGAATGAATGGGTCAAACAGCAAATCACAGAAACAATCAATAACTTCATCCAAGAGAATGACAGTAATGAGACAACATACCAAAACTTATGGGATACAGCGAAAGCAGTACTTGGGGGAAGTTTTATATCTCTCAATGCTTACAAGAATAGAATAGAGAAAAAGGAGATCAATGAATTGGGCATGCAACTGAAAAAAACAAGAAAAAGAGCGAATTAAAAATCCTCAATTAAATACCAAATTAGAAATACTGAAAACCAAAGGAGAGATTAAAAAAAATTGAAATTAAGAAAACTATTGAACTAATAAATAAAACTAAGAGCTGGTTTTATGAAAAAGCCAATAAAATAGATAAACCTTTGCTCAATTTAAAAAAAAGAAAGAAGAAAATGAAATTGCCAGTATCAAAAATGAAAAGGGTGAAACCACCACCAGTGAAGTCTTTATCTGTTGCTGTTGTCAAAAAACAAATCACGATTTGGTGACCAACATTCTGGTGATGAGCCTCTTAAAGAAGCAAGAAAGTAAGCACCTACTAAGCATGTGCCACGTGCCAAGTACAGAGAGGAAATTACAGCAGCCTCCAGAAATATCTGTAGGTGTGTCTACGAAGCACACATAAAGTAACTTCTGGGTAACCTTGGAGGGGAGAACCAAGCAGGGGCTCTTGCAGAAGTTGGTGCTGGAGCTTTGTTGAAGGAAACTGGAGATTGAGGTGAGGAATGAGAGCATCCTAGGCACGGGGACAGCTCAGAGTCGTGGAGGCAGGAGATGGGGTGTTGTGGGGGAGGGAGAGCAAGTAGACTGGAGAGTGTGTAGAGGGAGAAAAAAACTGGGAGGGAGCAGGGAACAGTTTGTGAAGAGCCTGATAGCAGAGTTTAGAGTTGATCCTAGAGGTAGTAGGGAGTCACTGGAATTTGTTGAGTAGAAGAGTGATGTGGTTAGACATGTACTTTAGAAAAAATACTCCAGAGACTGTGAACAAGGTCTGCCTAACACTTTGCATATGCTGTTTTATTTGATCCATACAACAACCTTGTGAGGTAGGCGTTATTGTCATCCCCATTTTACAAATAGGGGACTGAGATTGAGAGGTTAGGTGATTTGTCCAAAGTCACACAGATAGTAAGTGGTTCAGATTCAGGTCCAGCCTTGAATACTGCAACCAGTCCCACAGGTGCTTATTACCTCCAGGATCAAATATAAAACCCTTATTTGGCATTTACAGCTCTTCCTAACCTTGGCCCTTCTGTCTTTCAAGTCTTCTTACATTTCACTCCCAACCGTGTACTTTTCAATCAAGCAACAACTGTTTTACTGATGTTCCTTGTACACACAGCTCCCATCCCCTGACTCCACGCTCTTTCAGGAGCCATTTACTGTGCTGGAATGCTCTCTTTATTCACCTCTGCCCCCTGGCTTCTTTGGCTTCCTTTAGAGACTCAGCCCTAATCTTATAACCCACTCATTAATACTACTGGACTTTAAAGCTTCTAATTCCTCCGACCAGCCTGTCCTCAAGGAGTCAGTGTTCAGAGGAGTCTGGGATCCAGTACTTTTGATGACTTTCAGGTACGTGGTAGATTTTGTAAGTTAGACTAGGA